CCCCAAAACCCCAAAACCCCAAAACCCCTAATTCCTACCCAATATTGAAGATCAGAAACTTTAACATTTTAACTTAACCTACAAATCATCAGTCTCATAGAATAAAATGTAGGCATGCTTGCTCTTCGATTCCATACTAGAGATTTCATTCACCATTGAGTTTGCCAGATGAATCCAGGTTGACCCTCGAAGACTCAGGGTAGAATAATGAGTGTAGTTACCACCATTGGTGTTAATGATAGAACTGTTGAGAGTGTATTTAATGTCTTGACCACTCTGAGGATCGAAATACTCAAAACTTTTAGGGTAATCTATGAAGCCATCAATCCTTGTATCTTTTATTGGATCCCATCTAGCAAATGACATCATCAAGTATTTTGGAAATCTAACTATTCTCTTTGTAATAGTATATGATTGAATACTTTGACATTCTGAACATCTGTAAAGACCTCTATATTATTAGCAAATGAAATTTCTTATACTGCAGAAATCCATCTAAACAACTAGAAATACTTAACACATCTTAACAACAACGGATTTTTTAATATCCTTATACCTTTTTATGATTTATTCCATCATTCACCACTCAACCACCAAAAGTCCTTCGTGCAGCTTCCCAGTCCTCTTTCCTCCATACCCCAATAACTCTCCTCCCTTTTCTAAATTTAAACTATCTCTCAGTTAAAACGTTACCTTGACTACACAATTAACTTAAACAAGGAGGAACCCAAGGCTTTTTAGAGGAAGTGTTGGCATCTTGGTAAGTAGACTTACTCTTCTTTGCTGGTAGACTTGGAGAGGAAGTCCATGAATCCTTTGACAGTGATTTTTGGTGATGATGGTAATGAGATATTTAAAAACTCTTCATATCTTTTGACCTCTTCAGAGCAACCTTCTCAATGATAGGTAGACTCCTCCATGCCCATAAACAGTCTATCAACGATCGATGAATGAAACTCTAGATACTTGTCCCAAGCTTCATAATGATCTTTATATCCAATTGGTAAAAATGTTTGTTCTGAAGGATTTTGCTCATTTCTCAAAATGTCGAAAATTTCAAGAATAAACTCGACTGCATCGTGCTGTTGATGCTTTGGAAACTCGTCTTCAAACTTATCCCTAAGCTTATCAATGCTCACTTTTCTACACTTCGGATCAAAATACTGCTTTACAAGTTGCTCAAATAATATTGAGATCTTTGCATCAAGAAGAATTTCTTTGTTAAAGGTGCAATTAAAATAGTCTACAAATTCTCTAAGTCCCAGCAGGGATTGCAAGGAAGAGATCATGAATCAATTTAGGCCTGTATTAGCAATCCCTTTCCAAGTTCCTGATGCTTTTTCTTCCTCAATTTCTCCATCCCAGTCAACCTTGTGCTTCCAACATGTGGCTTCCGAGTCACCAATGAGCCATAAGTCTCTTTTCCTCTTCTTGGCTCTTTCTTCTAGTTCAGTCTGTTCTGGAGTCTTTTCATTTGCCTCTCTGGCTCTCTTAGCTGCTCTTTCTCTTCTTTTGCGTTCAATTCTTTCTATTCTGGCTCTTTTTTCTTCTTCCTCACGAAATGTTAGTGTTCTTTCCATTTAGGGTTTATTGTTTGACAATGCTTTGAGCCTTTATGGGGTTTTGGGGTTTTGGGGTTTTGGGG